ACGACATTCTCGACCAGAGGATCCCACACGCGGAGTATATCTGGCGGTCGTCGGAGAGGGAGCTGGCGCTTGTGTTCAAGCCGCGAGGGGTGAGGTTCAAGCCGACGAGCTGCGAGCAGCTGGTGGAGTCGTTGATCTACGTCACCAAAGCGTTGGTGGCGCTGCACGACTTGTCGTTTATGCACAGGGACTTGAGCTGGGACAAGGTGATGATGAGAAGAAGTGGTGGTGGTGGTGATGGGGCGCAGCAGGAGTGGTTTGTTTGTGGGTTCGACGAGGCGGTGGTGGCGCCGCAGCTGTACCCGCACGAGGTGGTGGAGGTGGCCGGAGGAGGAGGAGGGAGTGGGAGGCACGCGCCGGAGATGGGGCGAGGGATGCATGGGGTTAAAGTGGACGTGTGGGGGGTTGGGAATCTGGTGAGGACGTGCGGTGTTGTTGGCGGGAACGGGGTGCCGAAGCTACTGAGGGAGCTGCAGAATCGGTGTCTGGATCAGAACCCGGAGCAGAGGCCGACTGCCGCCGATTGCTACCACCACTTGTCGCAGCTGCAGTCCTCGCTCGGGTTGCAGCCTTCTTCTGGCGCCGGGGGTGCTTCTTATTGATTCGTGTCCGTTGTTTTGTATTATTAATTCGTATTATTATTATTTTTGGGGTTTAGGGTTTGTCTGACAGTTGGGATTTGTTTAAGATATATAATATATTATTATTGTGTTTTTTTACCTTTGTTGGGAGAGGAGGGAGGGAGTGGAGGGTTGTTCTTTGTTCAGAGGTTGTGGAAGGAAATGGCGGCTGGGTGCAGCTTCTGGTGATTTCTGATGGGTCGGCTTCTGCTGTTATTTACCCCCCAGGTTAATTTTCCAGTTGTTTTTTCACTTGGTTACTGTGAAGGTTTTTTTTTATGGGGTAGAAGGAAGTAGCAGAGAGAGTGAGTCGCGAGTCGCTGTCCATCGAATCAAAACCTGAAATGGCTGTCATTCAGGGCCTCTAAAGTATTTGTAACCATTGAATGACAATGCTCAGTGAAGCAGGAAGAAAGAAGGAGGGAGAGGAATTTACTATGGTAGTTTATTTAATTCAATTTCTGTTTGTGGTGTTTTTGTGCATTTACTGCTGTGATGTGGTGACAGTGGATTTCGGATCTAGACTCTGTGGGGAGGTAGTTGTGTTATCGAGACTGTTGTTTTTGACGGTAGGCTGTCGAGAAAGGGGGTTTGATCAGAATTGGGGGTGATGTTTGATGGAGTTGTAAGTGTATTGACAAGGCCGCTGCAAGGATTTTACTGCTTCATTTAGATTTTTAGCCTAGCTTCCTGCTTTTTACCGCGCGCTACTACTAGTACAAAAATGACTACTGTTGCTGATTAGCCTCCTGAGTTACGTTTTTTATTGTTTGCTAAAACAACACCCTAGTATGTTTTACACTCTGTTTTCACAACTGGAATGGAGGCTAAACTGAAAAAGGTAGTGATTTAGCGTTCAGTGATTAACCGTTACAAAATCGTTGGTGGATCGTTCACGTTCATGATATATAAAATATAAGACTTGTATATTACATTAATTTAAGAATGAAATTATCATTGACCATAAACAATTTCTAATTTATATCATTACTAATTATCTAATAAATCAATCAAATCATCTAAAAAAAACATATTTTTTAATTCAAATTAAAAATTACGGTATCATGGTAGTGGACAACGCAAAGTCGACAACAAGATTGAAATGATAAGAGTAAGCATATATAAAATTAATAATTATAGTTTGATGGTCTTAGTTTATGTTAAAATATTTTTAATTTTTTTTTTGTTAAAATAGTGAACCAGTGGACTAGTTAGACTGTGGTGGTTTATTTGATTTTATGTTGAACCGTGAAAAACCGTTTGGTTCATCAATAACCGTCCAAGCAATGAACCGGACCGCTATTAGAACCGATTTGGCGGTTCTACTAGTCCGACCGTTGATCCGGTTCGGTTCTTATAACAATACTTTACATGACTCCAGATACGATTACTGGTCAATTAGTAACCAAATTTCAGTCATTAGATTTAAGTGTGCTAAAAAATCCAGATCTAATGGTGGAGAATTAAGGCATTTTTTTCTTGTTTTCTTAATTGTCTCATATCTTTCTCGTTTTAACTATGATTTCAATTTTTTTGCAAAAATGAAACTAGTTCGTTATGCTCTACAAAATAATAACAATTTTCAATATTTTTTGAAAAAAAAATTCTTGTCTCTCGTTACCAACGCATACTATATGGTATCTTTTTTTTTGTTTTTAAGTCATTTTTAAAATTTTTTGCACATAATGAACGAGTTCATCATGATCTATTGGATCTAGAAATTTTTGGGTGAACAAATTACAGGACCTTACCTCCCAATACCATCCTGGTATATGGTGGTATCTTATGGTACACAATAATAAAAGTCGTAAATGACAGTTAGTATATTCCTACTATCATGTATTCAATCATCCTATAGTCTTGGAATGTTCATACTACCATTGTAAGCTTTGTCATACCATACTAGTAAAAAATGGCTCAATTTTTTTGGTTCCAAAAATATATCAAAGTGGATATCATTTGGAAGAGCACAATTAATCTGATATAACCGTGCAAAAAAAAATTAAATTCTAACATAAAACGAGTGACAAATCGTCCGTTAAAGATTGTGGGAGAAAAAAATAATGACTTTGCAGGAGAGAGAAGTAGCTCTAATATGACATATAGTAATTGAATTATGCATGGTTACTCATCACAATGTTATGCATGTGAACGCTTCAAAGTTGTAGTTTGTATTGAGTAGGAGAGTTGAATTATATACTCTCTGTACAACTGTAATCTAACCTAAATAGCTATAAACAAGGAGCCACTACGTACCTGTGTAACCACTACTAACAGAGATAACAAATAAAACTAGTTGGTGGACGTGTCCTTATCACGCCCCCGCAAGACGGTGGCGCCGTGGCGGGTGCGACACCGATCTTGGAACGAAGCAGCTGGAAGCGAGTGATGGGCATCTGTTTGGTCAAAGCATCAGCAAGCTGCAACGCAGTGGGAATGTGGAGAACACGAAGTGAAGAAGCCTGGACCAACTTGCGAACGAATAAGTAATCAAGGGCGAGGTGTTTCATCCGCGAATGATGAATATGGTTGGCCGAAAAGTTCACTGCACCAAGGTTGTCACAGTAGAGTTTAGGTTGGGACGAGATTGGGTAATGAAGCTCAAGAAGCAGTTGTTGAAGCCATAAGATCTCTGACGTGGCATTGGCTAATGCCCGGTACTCCGCCTCCGTACTAGAACGATCACTGCTTTTTCGATTTCCAAGAGACAAGGTTGCCTCCATAATAGATAAGATAGGCCATGGTGTAAGTACGATCATTCGGGTCCCCAGCCCAATCAGATTCAACAAAGGAAACAATAGAAGAGGGCGCAACCGACGAAAGAGTGAGACCGAGTGTGGACGTTCCTTTGAGATAGCGGAGAACCCTCTTGACATTATGCCAATGAAGTTGAGTTGGGGCATGCATGAACTGACAGAGTTTATTGACCCCGAAGGCAACGTCAGGACGAGTATAAAGGAGATATTGAAGAGAACCAATAACCTGCTTATAGAGTGTTACATCCGCAGGGGGGAGAACCATCATCAAGAATTAACTTGGCAGTGGACGCCAACGGCATGGGAGCTGGATGAGAATCCATAATGCCAAAACAATGTAGGAGATCCTGTATGTACTTGTGTTGAGATAGCAGAAAGCCATTTGGTGTGGGAAGGACCTCAATGCTTAAGAAATACCCGACATCACCGAGGCTCTTGAGATAGAAACGGTCAGCAAGGCGAGCTTGAAAGCTGGCTAATGTGGGAGCATGATTGCCTTTGAGCAAGAGATCATTAACATATAACAAAAAATAGAAAGTGACTGAACCCTTGTGATAGATGAATAAAGATGCATCAGATTTCGACTTGACAAAGCCTTCCCCTTCAAGAAAGCTAGACAGCGCCAAGTACCAAGAACAAGGAGCCTGGCGTAGGCCATAAATCGCTCGAGACAAACAGCAGACGTGATCGGGAAATTGAGGATCACAGAACCTAGGGGGTTGCTCCAGGTAGACTGTTTCAGCCAAAGAACCCTACAAGAACGCATTGTTAACATCGAACTGCAAAATGGGCCACTGGTGAGAGAGGGCAATGGAGGACACGGTACGGACAATAACAAGATTCAAACTCGGGCTATATGTGTCATGAAAATCGATGTCGGGGCGTTGAGTGAAGCCCTTCGCAACTAGCTGGGCTTTAAACCGATCAATAGTGCCATCAGAATTCCACTTGATACGAAAAATCCAGCGACACCCAACAATGTTTTGTGATAAAGACCGTGGAACAAGTGTCCATGTATAATTATCAATAAGAGCGTGAAACTCCGCGTGCATGGACGCAGTCCAACGAGGATCTGCAAGGGCCTGTTTGACCGAAGTTGGTACAAGAAGAGAGCCCATCTGCGAAATAAACAATCGCTTGGGTTTGAAAATGCCATGTTGGCTACGAGTAATGGGTCGGTGGGGAACCTTGACGGGCGGCGGAGGAACAGGGCCATCATGTAAGGAGGATGCAGCTGGGGACGCATAGGGGAACAATGAGGAGTCGGAGAAGTGGCCGGCGGGGAACTGTCGACCGGCTGCTGAAGTGAGGCAGGTTGTGGCAAGCGAAGAAGTGTAACCGGAAGAGAGGTAGGGGTAGGCATTCGGTCGGTTCGGTTTGAACCAAACCAAAAAGGTGCACACCGGTATTCAGATTCCAGTCACAGGTCAAACCGATTCTGAACCGAATTATATTTTGGTTCGGTTTGATCGAATCAAAATATTACTCGGTTCGAATTCTGATCTTCTCTGGCTCTCTTTATTTCTTCTTTTCACTGACAAAAGAGCCCCACAAAACCTAATTTGTTCCTCTTCCTCCTGAGACCTCTCTCACTTTCTCGTCTTTCTTCCCTCTCCGCCGCAACATGAGAGACAGAGATCCGACTCCATCAGTCGTCGATGGCTGCCCCGGCGAGTCCCTTCCTCTCCATTCTGCTTCGAGTTGTCCTCTGTTCCCTCCACCGCCGAGGTCACGCTCCACTCTTTCGTCGCCGATCACCCTCTCCCATGGTGGCCCTTTCACTTCCGCCGCTTGCATGTGGTTTTTGCTCATCAGAAATCAAGCATCAGCAGCAAAAGCAACCTCGATGACCCGTTCTGGTCTCCTTACACCGTCGTTGCAGATGACGATACGACACACCTGCGACCGTGAACTACAGGAGCAGATCTGGATCCCTCCTTGGTAAAACTATTCTGTTTTGTTTAATTAAAATTTTTTGTATGCTTTTGCTAATATGTGATTTTGATTTTGGTTGGTTTTGACTTTTGAGTATAAATGACCGGCGATGAGAAGAGAATGGAGAGAGGGAAAGGTATAGGACTCCAGTGGCCGGCCAGAGGAAGTCGGTGGCGGTACATCTATGGCAGGGGATGGCGACAGCAAAGAGTCAGGATGCAGGATGCTGGAAGAAGAAGAAGAAGAAGAAGAAGAAGAAGAAGAAGAAGATTATGATTTTTGAATGGGCTCGGGTTTTAGTGGTAGAGAGAGTGGGTTTGGGGTTGTGGGTTGTATGTGTGTGAGAGTGGGCTTGGGTTGTGGGCTGTATATGTGTGAGAGTGGGCTTGTAAATGTGGGTTGTGTGTGAGAGGGAGAGGAATTGCGGTTTGTTCGGTCGGAATTCGGAATTTCGGGTTTGGTTGGGCACACCCTGGTTTCCGAAGTATAGGTTTTGCCTTCCGAATTCCAAACCGAATAACAATAGTTTGGTTTCAGTTCAGTTTATTTCGGTTTCGATCCGGTTTGATTCTGGTTTACCAAACCGGTTGCCCACCCCTAAGGAGAGGTAAGTGCAATCCAATATGGAGTTTTATAATGAGGGTCGGCTGGAGAGGAAAGACCCGACAGAAGGGATTCATCAAATTGAACATGTCGTGAAACAAATAACCGCCGAGAGGAGGGATCATAGCATTGATAAGCACTTTGGGAAGGGGAATATCCAAGGAATAAACAACGACGAGAGCGGGGAGCAAGTTTATGAGCGGAGTAATATGGAGAGTGATCGTTTAGTGCAGTGGAGGGAAGGCGATTGATAAGGTAAGTGGCAGCCTGAAATGCATGGAACCAGAAGCGAAGAGTCAGTTGAGCAGTGTGAAGCAGAGCAAGCCCGGTTTCAACTATATGGCAGTGCTTAATTAAGTTCGGCTAGGCCATTGTGTTGTGGGGTATGTGGTGGTGTGAGGAGGTGAGTGATGCCATTGGTTTGGAGAAAATAACAAAGTTTTTGGAACTCACCACCACCATCACTGTAAACACGACGAATGGTGGTGTGAAAGAAATTTTCAATAATGGATTTGTATATGGTAAACACACAATGGACATCAGATTTACGAGAGAGTGGATATAGCCATGTATAGCGTGTGAAATGATCAATAATGACTAAGTAGTATGACAAATTATCATGATAAAGAACGGGCGAAGGCCCCCAAACATCCATGTATAACAAATCAAATGATCGTGTATTGGACAGGCTAGAAACTAAAAACGGCAGTTTGTGGCTTTTATGTAAAGAGCACGATTCACATGACGAACTAGGGAAAGGGGAGGAGACAGGTAGAGACTGTTTATGCAGTACACGGGAGACAAGCATGAGGTGAGGATGGCCAAGTCGATTATTCCAAACAGCCGAGGAAACTCGCTGTCGCCGACATAGCAAGTCAAACTGGTGGAGACGCCACCGGCAGCTCATAGACGTCCCCTTTATTCTGGCCTCATAGTAGATGCGCCTGCGTGGCTAGATCCTTCACAACAAAAAAATCAGAGAAGAATTCCACAGATACCGGATTATTCTTACAAAGTTGAGCAACTGAGAGCAAGCGACACTTGATAGCAGGAACACACAAAACATTATTGAGATCAAGACATGTCATAGAAGAAGATAAATGTCAATTGCCGACATGAGTGATAACCAGACCCGACCCATCGCCAATGAGCACTTCATCAGGACCATTGTAATCCGAGTACAGAGAGAGATTACCTAGTTCAGGTGTCATATAGTTGGTGGAAGCAGAGTCAACCAGCCAGCCGCTGGAAGAGTAGGAGTTGGTTATTGTATAATGAGCCTATGGATGCCCTCGGATACGGAAGCAGTCCTTGGCTGTATGGCCAGGTTTGTCGCAAAAGTGACACTGCAGGCGAGGGCAACCGAGAAGTGATGGAGCGAGAGGACTGGAGGAATAGCCAGCACCAGCACGAGGAGAGGGAGGGCCTCGATTGTGGCGTGGACTGGCCTCATGACCAAAGGACGAGTCATGACCATAGTAATTAGAAGTGGGAGAGCCCCATCGAGAGCCACCTGGAGAGTGATTATAACCCCTTCCGTGAGCATAAGAAAAGGCCGTGGTGGGTGTAGGGGATAGCAGCACTTGTATGGCTGATAGATCATCCTGAAAATCCACAAGGCGATCATGAAGATTGGCGATTTCAAAAGGATTATCACATGCATGGAGCGCAGTAGAGAGATTGGCGAAAAAAGTGCAGAGTGAGATCCTCATCTGAAATAGGTGCATTGATGAGGGAAAGTTTGGCAGCGATTGAACGTTGAGCCTCGAGACAGAGGGAAACTGGTCGAGTTTCCTTCTTCTCGCGACCAAGTTTCTCCTTGAGATTCATGGCACGCTGACGAGACTGATTAGCAAACATACGCTCGAGAATGGTCCACACCTCACGAGACGAGCCAGCAGCAGAAACATAGGGAGCCACACAGGGAGACATGGATACAAGGATGGAATGAAGAATCAAATGGTCTTGCCTGTACCAGCGATGATGATCAGCAGCCTCAGCAGTAGTGGGCAGAGCGGGATGAGTACAATCCAAGAAGTTGAGAAGATCCAGGCCACAGAGATGGTTCAAAAGTTGCGCCCGCCAGGTAGAAAAATTGTCTCCAATGAGCTTGGTTGCGGTTGAGAGGCCGGATTCAAGGTGATGATAGTGTTGGATTCATCAAGATTAATCACAGATTCGCCTGAAATATTGGGAAAGAAGAGTCAAAGAAAAATTGGAGAAGAGAAGATGCAGCCATGGGCACAGCAGGACAGAACCGATGAAATTGAAGAAGATTGAAGAAGATAGAGAATGAAAGATTTCATTCGTGATTTTAGGGGGAAAGAGGTTTAATCAAATCGGAGCCAATGCTCTGATACCATGTGAACGCTTCAATGTTGTTTGTATTGAGTAGGAGAGTTGAATTATATACTCTCTGCACAACTGTATTCTAACCTAAATGGCTATAAACAAGGAGCCACTACGTACTTGTCTAACCACTACTAACAGAGATAACAAATAAAACTAGTTGGTGGACGTGTCCTTATCAATGCATAGGAACTGCTTCTGTTTTACATGTGGTCTGATATCTACCCAGTTTAATATTCACAGCTCATGTAGAAAAAAAAGAAGTTAATTTGTTAAGGAGTTAAACTCATTGTTTGTAACACTGAGCGGTTTGATTATAAAAATTCATTATTGAAGTTTAAATTGGGAGGTCGTCTTTCATGGCATGAGACAGTTGAACCACAATATAAACACAAAATACTTTATTATCAACTTTTTTAGTATGACCTCCAATATGATTTTACATTTTTTTATTAAAATTTTGTGAGTACAGTAATACATCTTGTCTTGTGTGAACTAAACTTATCTCGATCATTTCCCGCATGCTTAGAAATATCCTACATGTCAAACAAAAACTTATCGGGTTACATCACACACACCTGGTGGTCTACATGTATAAGGAGGTAATCGAGACAAACACACGAAACACAGATACGAGACACGAGATTCACATGGTTTTCTCAACGATGATCATTGAGGCTAGTCCACGGCACAAGGCACAGTTCACGTATATTACTCACGTAATTCTTATAGATACATAAGCGACCATATCACCATATATATACTTGGCCGAACGTAACCCTAAAAGGTTAATTATGTTTAGGTACTCTTAACTTCTAACACCCTCCCTCAAATTGATGATGCTGACGCAACATCAGTTTGTGTGCTAGAAACCAATGACGAGCAGAAGACACTGCCTTAATCAACAAGTCCGTAGTCTGATCTTCAGAAGTAATATAAGCTAACTCCACAGAACCTTCTGACACCAATTGCCGAATATAATGAACATGAACTTCAATGTGCTTGGTACGGTCATGAAGCACAAGGTTAGTTGCTATCCAAATAGCACTGGTATTGTCGACATAGAGGCGAACTGGGACTGTGACAGGAATCCCCAATTCAACCAATAAATCACATAACCATGTAATTTCGGAAGCTACCTCGCTCATGGAGCGATACTCGGCCTCTGTGGAAGACTCGAAAACTCGATCTTGCTTCTTGCATCGCCAAGAAATAAATGAACGCTCCACCTTCACGCACTAGCCTGATGTCGAACGACGGGTATCAAGACAATCTGCATAATCCGCATCAGCATATGCCTCAACCATAGGGTCTCCGCCAGCAGAGAAGAGAAGACCGACATCTTAGAGACCCTGAAGATAGTAAAGAATACGCGGAACTGCAGTCCAATGTGTCGTACGAGGAGCAACCATAAACTGACTCACAACCTGGACTGCATACGAGATATCAGGGCGAGTATGAGTAAGATAAATCAGACTCCCAACGATACTGTGATACAAGGAACCATTTGCTAATAATTCACCATATGCCTGTCGGAGTTTCATATTTTGTTACATAGGCATAGCACAAGGTATATAATCATCCATCTGAGCTTCTTTGAGTAAGTCAATGACATATTTCCGTTGACCAACATGAATGCTGACAGAAGAACGATGAATTTCGAGACCCAAGAAATAAGAAAGATCACCTAACTCCTTCAAATTGAAGGATGATCGCAGAGACTGAGTAATTTCCTGAATGTCGGCAGCATCATCTCAACTGACAACCATGACATCAACATAAATCAATAAAACAGTCAACCCACGGGATGTAGTCTGCAAGAAGAGAGACGAATCACTATTACTCTGCACAAAACCAGCTCGGAGAATAGTGTCCTAGAATTTCTCAAACCAAGCCTGAGGAGATTGCTTCAAGCCATAGAGGGAACGACGAAGCCGACAAACCATCAATTTATCACCTTTCCCATAACCCGGTAGGAGTTCCATATAAATTTCTTCCTTGAGATCGCCATGAAGGAAGGCGTTTTTCACATTAGTTGCAGTAAGGGCCAGTTCTTCATGGCGGCCACAGCCAACAGGTTGCGTACGGTCTGCATCTTAGCAACAGGGGAAAAAGTCTCTACATAATTGATCACATATTCCTGGCGGAATCCCTGACCACTAACCGAGCCTTAAACCATTCCACTGTCCCATTGGGATTCATCTTCACAGTGAACACCCAACGACAACCAATCACGAAGTACTCAGGTAAGCGAGGAACAATATCCCATGTGTGGGCTGCCTCTAATGTATCTGTTTCAAGTTGCATGGCATCGTCCCACTCTTTGCGTCCTTTAGCTTGTTTATAAGTAGCTGACACTAGGATGGCAGAAGTTGAGAAGGCAAGAAAATCAGAATGATGTGCGGGAGGTTGGCCTTTGGTTGAACGATTTGATCGACGTAGCGGAGGGGCAGCTTGATCAACATGCTGAGACTGATCGGAAGCCATTGAAGAATAAGATGTCGACGAAGAGTGAGACGTATGGGAAGAAGCCGAGAGCAAGTCTGAACCAGGGGAAGAGGAATTAAAACCATCGGTAGAGGAGGTGGCAGTTGAACTCGCTGAGGAAATGATGGGCGAGGAGGGCTTCATGGAGGACGAGTTTGCCGAGGAAGTGGCAGTCGAATCCGAAGAGGAAGAAGAATCGGGATCAGGTGAGGGTGCGGGAGAAGTATCAGCAGGAGTGGGATCCTCAAAGGAACGCAAGAAGTCCAGATCAGGAGGCGCCGCAGGCTAAGAACCAGAAGGCCCATAATACAATATGTGCTCTAAAAATACAACATGACAAGAGATTCGTACTCGACGAGCAGCAACTTCATAGCAAACATAACATTTGTGCTTCTCAGAGTACCCCTGGAAAGCGCACTTAACCAATTTTGGAGTGGTCTTAGTCCTCTCTCAATGAGCTAAAAGAACATAGCAGACACATCCAAACACATTGAGCCAACCATAATTCGGAATACGAGAATAGAGTGCCTGATACGGACTTCGCTGCTGTAGAACCGGGGTAATCTGACGATTAATTAAATAAATAGTAGTATGAACCGCCTCAACCCAAAAACCATAAGGAACTAGAGATTGAAATAATATAGACCTGGTTAGTTCAAGAACGTGACGATGTTTACGTTCGACTAATCCATTCTGCTGGGAGGTGCTAGGGCAAGACTGCTGTGAGAAATACCACGTTCGCGGAGTGGAGCCTGCAACGGATTAGAGGTAAACTCCCCTCCAGGATCCGAAAGTAAGATCTTAACTGTCCGATTAAACTCGGTCGAAACCATAGCAAGAAACTCTTGAGTAGTAGTGAACATCTCTAATTTCTGACGAAGAAAGTATACCCATGTATAATGCGTAGCATGATCCACAAACAGTGCAAAGTAACGAAATCCCAATAAGTCAGTATGCACCAAGTTCAAATGGCTCAGAATAGATAGTGGTGCTGGTAGTAAAAGAACTCAAAGTCATTTTTGCTTGCAAACAATGAACACAATCATGAATATAGTCGTTCAAAACAATACCCGACAGTCACTTATTCTGAAACATAGTACGAAGTCTCACCGAATTGGGATGTCCCAAACGAAAATGCCACAAATCTCAGTCAGACAATTTTACTGAAGATACCAAAAACATTACTACGAGAACCAACTACATGATGCCCGTTCACTGCCAATTGATTTCCGCCTCGGTCAGCTACCACCGGAGCTTCACGTCCACGATCCAACCCATGCAGACGTCCACCCAACAAACTTGATCGAGAATAGAAATCCAGCAAGAACGTCCGCCCGCGCTTACTTTCTCTCTCGAGTTCCTTCTCCGTCCTCGTGTCCTGCACAACACATCCGTTGTTGTCAAAAATAACCCGACACCCATCTGCGGCTAGCTTCCCCACAGAAACAAGACTAGGCACAAGGTTAGGAACATATAATGTGTCCGACAATGATATCTGAGACAGAGCAACACAACCAACACCCTCAACAGACATAATCGAATCATTTGCAGCCTGTAAATCAAGACAGGGAGCCTAGGAATCCAAAGTACGAAAAGCATCCCGAGAGCTAGTCATATGATTATAAGCGGCAGAGTCAATATGCCAAGGAGAAGAAGATGTATCCTTACCGGTAGCAAATGAAGAAGTAAGCGCTGTCGGCAAGACCTCCTTGAGCGCTTCTTGAACAAGGCGACGCACATGAGCCGACGTCAAGGAAGATGATGCGCCATCACCCACTACCGCAGTCGCATATGCAGGACCTGGATGAGCACCACCACGAGCACCATTCCCATTCCCACGTCCATGTCCCCGACAAGCCAAGATAGGGAAATCAGCAATAACATGACCAGCTTGCTTACAGTAATTGCAAGTATTCTTCTTCTTCGGACAGTCCGCAAGCAAGTGACCCTCCTGTTTGCAATAATTGCAAACATTCCTCTTCTTACAGTGATATTAAATGTGACCGTGCTCCTTATAGGGATGACAAATAATTTCACCCTTAGCAGTGCGGTGAAATTGAGGCTTCCCTCCCTGAATAGCATAGGCAGTATGTGAATCACTAGCATGAATATTCAACTTTACCTGACTTCGCAGACGAGTATCTTCACGAAGAAGCTCTCCAAATATCTCATCCATAGTTTCTACACTATGATGAAGGAGAGAGGTCCGAATACCCTCAAACTCAGGCCGCAAGATCATCAAAAACCTCATGATACGAGTGCTACTGCGCTCGCTGATCACCTCAGCCGAAACCTCACTAGATAGTAAAGAGCTCGTCAAATGATCATGCTCAGTCCAAAGTGTAACAGCAACTTGATAGTACGTACTCACATCAGAATCCCCTTTAGTCAAACGACCAAGATCGCATTCAATATCAAATTTTCGGGACACTCTAGGTTTAGAATAAAGATTCTCCAGATGCTGCCATATGGCCGAAGTAGTACGAAAACCCATCAAACTTAACGCAATACCCTGATCAATGGACCCCAGCAACCACACCCTCACTATGGCATTCGAAGCTTCCCAATCCTCATTGACCTTAACAGAACCATCAACAAAGGGCTCTTTGGCCGAGCCATCTAAAAACGACAGCAACCGCTTCCCTTGTACATGAAGACGAAATTGAAAGGACCAAAGGGCATAATTCTTGCCCGTGAAACGGATGGAAATAACATCACTCATAAAATTCTCCATAGCAACCGAAGAAGCACAACAAAGACACAAGAACCAACAAGAAGTAAACCAGAGTCGCAGAAGAAAATCACGAACCCGAAATTGACGAGCTGTACAACAAATTCGGCTAATTAGGACAAATTTTTTATTTTGTCATTTCTTGTTTTGTCACAATAGGTGGGAAAGGAACCTACGAAGATGGGTTTGAGGGGGTCTTTTGGGGTTTGATTGAGGTGGACGAGTGTCGAATGCTGGGTTTGGTTTGGGAGTTTTGATTTATGGGTTTGGGGATATTATGATGGGGGGTTCCGATTCTGAAGGTAAAAGGGAGAAGATGGGAGATTGCTATTTTTTGGGGTTCGATTGAGGTGAAAGATGGGTCGCCGGCACCGATCAAGCCGTTGGGATAATATGCAGTTATGATAAATATATTCGTCGTGTAATATGAATAATAATTTTGACAAAATCAGCAAATAATGACAAAACTAATGACAAAATATTTCGTCTTAAAAGCTCATTTTGTCACAATAGACTAATTAGAAGAGAGCTAAACTGACAAACCAAAGTCTAACTGTGATAAACCCCTTCATTATTGTGACAAAACTATTCGTCAGTTTTTTACCTATTATATGACACAATATCATACAACAAATATGACAACGGTATTTTAAAAATGTGTCACCTTTGATCTATCCTGACAACGATAAAATGACAAACATGTGTGACAACACCTGTTGTCATTTTATACCTATTATGAAAAAATGGGTATCTAATATGACAAAATTGTCTCATCATAATAGGCCGAATTTGTTGTAGTGTGAAATCCAATCCGTAGAGAACTCAATTGCAGCAGAAAACTCAGACCTGATTGACGCGAGGCTCCGATACCATGAAAATTATCAAGACAAACGAGACACGAGATTTACGTGGTTTCCTCAACGATGATTTGTTGATACTATCCACGACACAAGGCACAGTTCACGTATATTACTCATGTAATTGTTACAGATACATAAGCGGCCATATCACCATATATAATATATATACTTGGCAGAACGTAACCGTTAATTATGTGTAATTACTCTTAACTTCTAACACACACTGCCATTAACACCCTATAATTTGCTTCACATTAATAAGTTATTGTTAGTGACTGTCTAAACCTTTCTCTTTTGTAAATTTTCAGTTTTAACTTATTTGGTCTTCTCGCGAAATATTGCCTAGTTCTTCTAATATTTGACTTTTGTCCGGCTAGATGCTAAGTAGGGTCAAAAAGCTTTAACTCCCACTCTTCGCCTTTTAGACGCAGAAAGCTCTCATGAATCAAGTACCTCTCGCATTTTCGATTTCAAAACCCAAATAAGAACCTTATTTTTTTCATTAAGCGGTAATCAAATCCGGATCCAAGTAACTAAGTAAGTAACAAACTCAGGTTGTCTCCCAGTTCTAGTCATTCCCTTGTATGATTGGGTGCCAATTCACATCATGTATGCAAGCACAATATCTGGAACAACCTCTTGGTCAGCAGGCATTAACATACTGAAACTTGTTGAGTAGGTCCAGTAATCTCCCAATATAACAGTACTACAAGGAGAGGGAATCCAGTGGATGCCCCAAAATCCACTGTTTCCGCTTTCCACTACAAAAGTCGTAACAAAAACAATGAAATGTGAAAAAGAGTACAAGAATACACATGATCGATTCCCATGTCTCGCCAATGCAAGAGGAGTGGACAGAACAGAACCTTTTAACAAGCTGCTAGCAAAAAATCGTGGGTCCATTGTGTCTCCACTATAGCATCCTTGCCCCTACCATAAACCCTAACCTTTCCATTTCTCCAATCAAACATTGCACCAGTAGGGTTTGTGCACTATATATGAATATGATCTTCTGTAGAGATTTTGTGGGGTTCCCTTTCACCCCCACCACGTTTGTGTCAGCAAGTCAGCAACCCATAACAATAGACTAAATTGCAAGTTTGATCACTAAAATTATTTAAAAATTTTAAGTTTGCCACTAAAATTAATTTATTCCATCTGTAGCCACTTAAATTAAGTTAATAGTTCAAGTTTGGTCACTGACCGTTAGTCTCCGTTAACTTTTGCTGATGTGGAGATCAACTATTATAGTTGACCGTTAAATGAGTAAAGTGGCAATTAAAATAATATTTAATTGTTTTTTATTTTCCACCTAATTATTTTAAAAATTAAAAAAATAAAATCCACCCTATACATATAAACTTCAGATCCAGACTTAAAACCCCCCTATGGTGGATCCACAAAGGCACCCGCGGACCCGCCCATAAGCTCAAAACAGTTGGTACAAGACTACAAGTTAAATACCAAACGTATAGATAATTGAAATTATAATTATACTATTCTACAATTCATTGGTAGCCATTTCTGCCCTCTGGCGACGCATTCGAGCTGCCCATGAGGCCATGACATGTTATCACTTCCACCTACACTTCTGCTCTCGCTTCTTCTCTTCAACTCAGAGACCTGGGACTGCCACTGGTTTCTCCAGTCTCCTCTTTCACCAATTTCCTGCAAATCGTCAGAACCCAAATTGGATCAGCACAAATTCCTTCCAAATCCGTAACCTTCTCACAAGAATAGGCATAAAGGGATCCAAAAGCACATATCTCCATCCCTTATGTAGAATGACTTGACAGAACAGAGTATTTATGCAAAATTCTCCTTCAAGAGACTGAACATATTCGAAATTGTAAGCCCAATTCTCCTTCATCCCAAAATATCCCCAATTCCAGAGATTCGAAAATCAGGGAGAAAGAACAAAAACAAAAGAAGCTTTTACAGATGAAATTACATCGTCGTCATGGTATGAGGGCCGTCTCCTGGAGGAGAAGGAAAGGTGAAGCCCTCTGGCCATGTCCCGATCGTAGAGCGCCCTCTGTCGGGGATCCGACAGCGTCTCGTAGGCCTCCTAGACCCGAATGAACCTCTGGGTGTACTCCTCGACCGGATCCGGCGACGAGACGTCCGGGTGGTACATCCTCGCCAGCTGCTTGTAAGCCAGCTTAATATCTCTCAAGCTCACCGACTCTGGTATCCCAAGCAGATCGTAGAAGCTCATCTCCGTCGTGGGTACCGTGCACGCGCCGGAGGAGGCGGTTTCGTTCATGGTGGCCCTCATCCTGAAGGAGACCATTGACGGGAGACCGAGAGAAGGCCAGACCCGGAGAACCAAGTCGGGTAATCTGGCGGTGGAGGGAAGTGAGACGCCGAAGAGAGTAGCGTCGGTTGCTGGCATCGTCAATTCGCAACTCGTCATGTCGATGGAAATTATGTATTTTCAGGTTTCGATCTTCGATTTTGTTAGTTTGATTTATGGGTTTGATAAGTTGATTGTAATTAGGTGGAAAATAAAAAATAATTAAATATTATTTGTTTTATTATTTTAATTGATAAATCACTCATTTAACGATCAACTATAAAAGTTGACCGCCACAACAGCAAAAGTTAACGGAGACTAACGATCAATGACCAAATTTAAACGGTTAACTTAATTTAAGTGACTACGAATGAAATAAATTAATTTAGTGGTAAATGTGAAATTTTTAAGTAATTCTAGTGACCAAACTTTGTGATTTAGCCCATAACAATATATATGTAAACGTGACACACTGTGGCCTACACAAGGTTTGGTCGCAGCTTATCATGGCCGTGGCAGAAGAAGGGGGAAAAAAAGTGGGGATGCGCATGGATACCACAGCTCAGTTTTCACACCACCACCAGCAACATATTCGCACATTTGCTTCTGCTAGCTGTTTCACCTTTTAGTGTAGCCTTTGAGAAGTCACCAGCACTTTATATGGAAATAACTCCTTAGATCTTTCTATAGATAGATATGAATATCATCCAATGTTTATCAAGCGTGTAGCTGCAGACGTGTTCGAAAGTTATAAAGGGACCAGGGCCCACTGCATGAATCGAGTTTATATCCGGTTTGAGTTTTCATTCGAGCAAAATCAAAGGATACAAGGTCGTCGAACTCTACTCAATCAATGCTCACGAACACAGCTTGTCAATGGGAGCACAACCTCTCGACTAAATGTTTTTTCTTCGTTGAAAATATGATAATATAATAATTTTAGTGTTTGAAAAAAATTTATTAAATCTAAAAAATTTCAACTATTTATTTTACTAACAGCGCACGATCTCAAAACAAGTCACTAAATATCGAACAGAGCTAGCTTGCGAGCTCGACCGGATGAGAACGGTTAAGCACTTAAGCCTAAACTTGACTTTTGTTTTAGTAGAAATACTTTTATTATTATTTTAAAGGTGTGCGTACAAAAGATAAGCACAACATGGTGAGCGGATAGGTCAACAACTCATATGATGAGTAACCATCAGTAACATGTCTACATCCGCATGACATCAGCATCTCCTCTCTTCTGGAAAGTCTTTTATCTTTTCCCCTTTAATCTTTAACGGACGAGTTCTCTCTCGTTTTAAGTTGAAATTTAAATTTTTTTGCACAGATAAATCAGATTAAATGTGCTCTTTAAAATGATATTCACTTTGATATATTTTTAGTACAAAAAATTGAATAGTTTTTTACCAGTCGTTACCATATGATATGCTCATATTTAATACCATATGGTAAGAAAGCGTATCATGATGGTATGAACATACCAATATGGTAAGAAGATTGAATACATGATAGTAGGAGTATACTAACTGTCATTTACGACTTTCATCATTGTTTACCACAAGTTACCACCCACATACCATAGTGGTAAAATATGGTAATTTTTTGTCCAGTATTTTTTTCACCCTGAAATTTGTAGATCCAATAGATCATGATGAACTCGTTCCTTCTGAGCAAACGTTGTAAAAAACGACTTAAAAACGAAGAAGTTACCATATGGTATGTAGTTGCTAAAAAAAAGTTTCTCGAAATATATAAAAAAAATTGATCTCATTTTGTAGAGCACAACGAATTCGTTCCATATGTGCAAAAAAAATTGAAATCCGAGTTAAAACAAAGAAAATAAGAGCCAATTAAGAAAACTAGGGAAAATAAAATGTCTTTAATTGACAATTCTTAGATGTATCTGGGTCCACTTATATCTAAAGGTCCAGAATTAATTACTGGTTAACCAATGGTTACTAACCCTATTCTAAGCCAACAACATGTGTCCTGTCAATGTGAGACGAGAGTTGCAAAGAAAAATGTTTCCTTTGTTGAGATACATATTTTATGGGGCTCTTATTCAACTCGGCCCAGCAATTCTGAGTTGATAGATAGCTTGGATCAAGCCCAGAAAGGAAAGCATCTGCAAAACCGGATCTTGCCCTTATACAGACCCATATGGGTCGGTTCCACAGTTCCACTCCAACGGGCCCAATCCATTCACATTGGCACATCCGCCGCACTCAGCATATTTATCTCGGGGTGACCGAGCACAGACGGACAGAGAGAGCGCAAACAAAAACAAAGAATTGAAAGGCTATGAGCCGTTACGAAGGCTTCGGCGTGGTAATCAACCCCGACGGAACAATGACCCGCCGCCGCCTGCCGATCGATTCCAGATCCGAACCCTGCCCCGATCCGACCCAGTCAGTTCCAGTCCTCTCCAAGGACGTTCCCATCAATCAATCCAAAAACACCTCCATCCGCCTCTTCTTGCCCAAGCAAGCAGCAATCAATTCTTCCCCTCCGGCCAAATTGCCGCTCCTGATCTACTTCCACGGCGGCGGATTCGTCCTCTGCAACCCGGCCTCAACCGTCTTCCACGACTACTGCTCAAACGCCGCCCTCCAGCTCCCCGCCGTCGTCGCCTCCGTCGGCTACCGCCTCGCCCCGGAGCACCGCCTCCCCGCCGCCTACGACGACTGCGAGGAGGCCCTGCGCTGGCTTGCTTCCATCGCCGGCAAAGAGGACCCCTGGCTGAGAGACCACGCCGATTACGGAAACTGCTTCCTGATGGGAAACAGCGCCGGCGGAAACATAGCCTACCACGTCGCCCTCCGCGCCGCCAACGAGATCGCTGCTGGTCAATTGAAGATCCGAGGGGTGATACTGCACCACGCTTTCTTCGGCGGGGTGGAGAGGACCGGATCTGAGGAGCGGCTGGCGGTCAACCCCATGCTGCCGCTGGAGTCGGCGGACATGGCGTGGGAGATGTGTTTGCCGGTCGGGGCTGACCGTGACCACGAGTACTGCAACCCGATGGCCGGCGGCGGGTCGGAGATGCTGGAGAAGCTGAGGGCCGTCGGATGCATAGTGGCGGTGATCGCCTACGAAGGGGATCCGCTGGTTGACCGGTCAAAGGAAGTGGTGAGGATGATGGAAGATAAGGGGATAGACGTGGTGGCCCACTTCGAGAGCGGTGGGTCCCATGGGCTGGAAATTATGGACGCCGAGAAAGGGAAGGAGTTCAACGGCGGCCTGTTGAAGAAATTTGTGCAGTCTTGTTTGGCTGCTTAAAAGAATTTTGTTCCCGCTATTTTTCCTGAAGCATTTTTTTTTTTTACCAGAGATATTCTGGAATAATTTCCTGAAGCACATTGGGACTGAAATTTGTAGATTTGGATTGAACTTACTAATAAATGCTTATTACTTGTGTGTTCATCGTCAGGAATAACCAACAAAGCAACATACCACAAATTAAGGAGGAAATAAAGAAAAACAAAACTTTTTTATTGATTAAAAAGAGAAGAAAGAAAATTTAAAAGAACGATATGTAGTCAGGTACAAAGAAATGACATTTTTAGCCACGAAGTGGACTACTCTATTATTATTTTATTCTGACCTACAAATCGTACATGTAGACACCACATTTTATCCGGGGCAATGACTGTACTTAAACTCAAAAAAGGAAAAATTATAACGATGAATTAAATAGAATGCTTTGAAGGATTTGGTTGAGATTAGCAGTGGCTAGTCAATAAGTACCCATGACTCCAAACTTCAGCCTTATTTAATTCTAATATCAAATTGATCAAGATTACCTGTGACGCTAATGATTACCATGATCATTCCTATACAATTCTAGATAAATTATTTGAGATTTTTAATGGCAAATCTAAAGCATCAATGACCAAAACTACCCATGTCTAGTTTTAAGATTGGCTAAATTGGATGAAAGCAATGGTAACTTTAATTTTATAGTTTGTTGGTTTACCGTGTAAAAGACTACTCAAGGTTTGCATTTGAATTTGGATAGGAGATAAGAGATGAGCTCAATTGAATAAAAGAAATAGATGTCTTGTTTTGTCAACTATACATCACCATAAAGGATCACATCTCGATAAAACAACAACAACAATGACCTTGATTAATATTCCATGATTTCTTAAAACACAATTGCTAACATATACAAAAATAAAACAAAATACAACTCCAATCAAATGAAAACCCAAACTAGACTTGAAGCCCATCTCCTTGGCTCAAACCAGCCACAGACCTGCAAAAGAACCAAATTGAAAACCAGTTCAAGCCCAGAGCACGGCCCAAATTGAAGTCCACTCCAGCCGAGAAACAGGTCTGCAAATCCAGCCCAATTCGGCCCACAAACTGAAGCTTACGGGTCTGACCTTGGCCCAAACCCAACCTCATCTCAGCCCATCTTATCTCCAACCGATTTCACATTTCAAGGGATGGCAGAAATTTTGCAGAGACGGCCTAAAAAATCGGCCAATGACCGAGTGGCACGTGACAAGAGGAGGTTGCTTCATGTGAACTTTGCGAGGGTCCTCATCATAGGGATATGTGTCCACTGGGCTCTTAATTTGGGCACGTTTTAGAGTGGAAGGGGGGGGGGGGGGGGGAGCTGGAAAGGGTTAAGAGATCCAACTTTGCCAAAAGGTTGGTGCTTGTAAACCTCAAATCTATCCTTGGTTCAGCAATAATAGCATGCTTTCCTTTCTTTAAGTTAATATCCATCTACTCAGTCCAATCGCTATTTCGCAGGTGCTCTTTCTATCAAGCTTTACTTGCTGGCTTTTATTTTAGCTAGCTCTTACAACCACACCATCATTTATACTGTATTCATGAGTTTCGTTTAAAGCATTTACTTTTCATACTTACCCTTTGTTTCTAGCCTATCGTTATATGTAGGGTTACTATTAACCAATCGATTCAACTATCCATGAATTAATTAATGTTTTGATTTAAATTTCTGTCATGCCTTAAATTTCCTTTCTAGCGAATAGATGATAAGTAGAATTCAAATAGACAAATGTCTATAGGAAGTGCAGAAATCATTTTTCCAACCAAAAAACATTGTAGAAGGCCATGGATTAGTCCAGATCCGCACCCAACAAAACTCAACATATCACCATTTCAGATCTACAAACCCATAACCATTTAGAAAGGCACTCCCTAACCCAAATCTGGATGAATCACAAGTACCGGCTTTGATTCATAATAACCAGAAGTAGCAATCTATAGCATAAAAATAGACTCGTTTCCACCATGGCTAAGAGTAGCCATGCCTCGCCACCAAATAAACCATATTTCACAAATTATTCAAAATATAGATTAATTAGTTCTAGTTAATTGCTATCCTCTAGCAAATCTATGCTCATGAAAAATCCAGATCTGCCTAAAATTGCAAACCAAACACATACAAAAAAAAATTAAGAGTCCAGAACCCGAATCTATTTAAAACCGTCAAATCCGAAGTAATAGACCAAACAATGTCTTAAATATTTTTTTTAATTTAAGTATCTTAGACAAACAATCTAGGTTTTGTAAAAAAGCTCACCATTAATTTCGGATTAAGAATCTGAACCAAACGAAATAGAGGTCAGGTGTAGTTACAAATTCGTAGTAAACCCAAGGAAATTAAAGAAAAAAAAACTTACCGAGGTCAAATAACTCTAGCCACCTTTCTCACTATCTTCGCCGCCGCCAATCTAGCGAGCCCCTTCTTCTCCTCCACTCGACCGAAAAAAAAAATAATTAAAAATTTATTAAAACCCAAAATACCAGAAAAAAACGAATAAACCCAAAAGCAAAAATTAGGTCTGAACCTACCATCGACCGTCCCTCGGTCTGGTCGTCGTCGGTCTCCTCCCTCCTTCTCTCCCCGCAAAAACACAAAACCAAAAGAAAATAAGATTAAAATCACAATTAATCAGAAAAATTAGATCTAAGCCCACATGTTTAGGAGAAGATCACCGAAATGTAGATCAATAGTAGTAGGAGGTAGATCGAGAAGCCCCCCCGCTCGGTTTGGGTTGATTTCTCCAAAAATGAAAAAGAAAACGAAAAGAAATTTAGTAGAATCCAAATTAAAATTAGAAAACTAGAATTAGAAGGTCGTGCATGTCGCTAGCTTACTTGGGTCGGAGTAATTCTGGTCGGATTAACTCCATTTGAGCAATCGTTTAGCCAAATCGGAAAGAGAGGGTGAGAGGAAGAATAGCTACGCCGTTCTTGCGTTCTTCTTTTGGTCGTGTTTTCTTCGGAGAGGAGAGAATGATGAGCAAAGGAAGAAACGGGAAGAGAGAGGCGAGAAAGAGGCGGCTAGGGTTTCGTCTTCTTTTCTCCGGAAGAGAAGAAGAGAGGCCAGAGAAAACGAGAGAGAGAAGGGAAGTGAAGAGAGAGAGAGAGAGGCGGCTGCTCGGCTGCTAGGCTCAAGTTTAGAGTGTTTAGGGTTTGTAGAGAGGTATATATACCTAACCATTCAAAATCGGGAGCTGGAGCTGCTGCTGGCTCGGCATACTGACGCTTGGGCTGCTGAAATGGTTGCCCCTGCCTCGGCTGGTAAGGCTGCTGCTGAGGGACTGGCCCCTGTCTAGCCTGCAAAGGCTGCCTCTGCTGAAAACCACCTGCTGGTGCTGGGAAACCAGGTGGTTTGGTGGTGTTGCCATTCCAAGAGAGTTGGGATGCTGGCGCCACCCCTCATTGTATGTGTTATTGTTTGGATCGAGGCGCTGAGCATTGGCGATGAAGTCCAACTGCTCTTGTGGCGTAGATGACTCCCGCATAGCCTGTTAGTCTTCCACCAGATGATTCGAGCTCTCACACCACTGACATTGAGCTGTTGGAGGTCCACCCAGACCTCTGCCCGGAATAAGACTGTTGGACTGCTTCAATGTCTGCACTAACTCGGCCACCTTCTGCTCGAGCCCGGACCTGGCCTCCATGGCGTGTACACCACGATCCCGGGAATTCCTGCCTCTAGTGCTCTGCCCCCAGGAATGATCTCTGGCAGCCAAGGTACTGATCATCTGGTTCAGTTCGGGTGGAGTCTTAGTAAGAATATCCCCTCCTGGGCATAGAGACTCAATCACCCTCTGGCTTTCCGGAGAGAGAGCACTGTAGAAGTTCCCCACGGTGAATGCATCACTGAAGCCATGATGGGGACACTGCCAGAAAAATCCCATGTACCGCTCCCATGCATCACAAAGTGACTCGTCTGCTCCTGGCGAAAGTGAGTGATCTCTCGCTGAATCTCTGTAGTCTTCGATGCCGGATAGTACCTGTGCACGAACTTGTTGGCCAGATCGTCCCAAGAAGTGATGGACAATGGGGGCTGGGTCTCCAACCACCTCTTAGCATGCCCCGCCAGAGAATGGGGAAGACGTGAAGGCGGATCGCATCATCAGGGACAACGTTCATCTTGAACCCGTTTGTCAGCTGCAGGAAACGGGAAAGATGCACCCTTGCCTCCTCATCCTTCAAGCCATGAAACTGGATAGAGGATGTAATTAGTTGAATCCACCATGGCTTGATCTCGAAGTTGTTCGCTGGGATGGGTGGATAGAGGATGACAGGGCGGACATCAGCAACCCGTGGAGTGTAGTAGTACTCCAAGGTGGGACCTTGGGCAACAGCAACAAGAGCTAATTGAAGTCGATGCGCAAAACAGTGAATATAATATGCAGATGGACTTTCTTCCAAAATTAAAGTCTTCAGTCCATTAATTTCACCTTTCATATTGCTAGCTCCATCATAGCCTTGGCCCCTTACTCTTGAGATACTCAATCCATGTTTAGTAAGCATTGACTCAATTGCCTTCTTGAGAGACACTGCTTTAGTATCACTAATATGTGAAACACCAAGAAATCTCTCAATAACTCATCCTTTTTCATTCACATAGCGTAAAACAACACCCATTTGCTCCTTCACTGACACATCTCGAGATTCATCTGCCAATATGGCAAAGAAGTCATCACCAATATCCATGGTGATTAACTTCGTCGTTTCAAGAGCCAATGCATGAACAATGTCCTTTTGAATGTCTGGAGAAGTTAGTTGATGATTCTTTGGAGCATTTTCCATCACAACTCTCTTGACATGTTCTATATCACTAGCATAAAACTCCAACAGAGACAAGAATAAACCTCTATTATTTGAACCTTCTGACTCATCATGTCCACGAAATGGCAATCCATGCTTTAACAACCAATTTATGCATTTAACTGAAGCCTCTAATCGAATTCGATAATCCATTTTAGTTTGATCAAATTTTTTATCAAAAGCAATATGAATACTTTGTGATTGCTGCATCAAAGCTTCACCCATCCTCCGACAATCATTGTGAGCACTATTAATATCGCCAACATGTTTTGCCAACCTCTCATTCTTAGTCCAATTTGTAAAACCCTCTCCAATGAAACTATCACCACCACCTTTCTTTCCAATTTCATGTCTGAAAAGAAAACAATCCAAACAATATGCAGCATCTTCCTCAATACTGTATTCTAGCCATTTATATTGATCAAACCAAGAAGGATTGAACCTTCGCCTCCTTTCACCAAACTCCCTAAATGGAAAAGCATGTGCACGAGGTTGATAGGGACCTTTTAAGAGGTGGGCTCTTCTAATTTCATCTTGCATATTAGGATGAAAAATAGATATTTTCTTTCTTAAACCAGGATCGGCTTGAAGAGAAACTCCATTAATCTTCCATTCTTCAGAAAGAGAGGGAGACTTACTTTGAAGTTCTTCTATAAGTGGAGGCCCTTGTGATTGTCTCGATTGATTTACTGATGAAGATTGTATGCATGGTTGGGGAAAAGTTGCAGCTTGCTTGCTACCTCGTGATTCCGTCTCTTCCATTTCCGGAGAAATAGTTTTTTCTTTCCTCGAATAATATCTCTTCATCTAATTTAATAATGAAAATCAACTTCATTATATGAATAATTCAGTCCATGTTCTTAATTTGAAGATGAAATTGAGTATACCAAACATACAAACCTAACCCTAAATTAACACAAATAACAAAACTTCAAGTAATAGAAATTAAAACTTAGATTTACCTTGTTTTTAAGATTGATGATGTGAGGCAAAGAAATTCTTGTGTTGTCGGCTTGTTGCTCCAATGCTCCCCTCCCCTGCCGGCTACCCTGCTCACGATTGAAAAGAGAAGGAAGCTTGGAGGTCAGGAGTGCTTGGAGGTCGGCGAGCTTGGAGGGCGGTGGGTGGAGGTTTGGCGATCTTGAAGCCGAAGATGGAGAGCTTGGAGGGTGGACTCGCCGCCGTTGGAGCCTTGGAGAATGGAAGCTCCAAGCTTGGAGGTCGGCGAGCGCCTCTGCTGCTGGCTGCTGATGGGTCGTGGAAAAAAACGAAAGTGAATTGGGGATTTCTGCCTGGGATCGACGACAGTGTTTTGATATTAGGACAGATAATTACTATTGGTATAATTAAAAGTGTGTGTCTAATAAATCAAAAATCTCGTCTAGCAGAGATGGTGGGATTGCTTACCATCAATTATGGGGTCAGAGGTTCGACCCATAGCTCTCACCATATATGCTTAGTTTTTTCCCCACAGCCAAGGGGGCTGCATGCACCCCCCTCCATTATGCACAGCTCCGCCACTGGGGGAAAGAGGTGAAGGCGGATTGCATCATCAGGGAAACGTTCATCTTGAACCCGTTCGTTAGTTGCAGGAAACGGGAAAGATGCACCCTTGCCTCCTCATCCTTCAAGCAATGAAGCTGGATAGAGGATGTAATGAGTTGAATCCATCATGGATCTGCTGCTAGCTCAGCATATTCTTCAGCTCCAGCGGTCACCCGGAATATGGTTCCCCCTAGACTGCAGTTAAGCCGGATTGTAATTTACCAAGCTCCAGCGGGCGACTAACCTCCACCAGAGTAAACACATTGAGGCCCTAACGAACCAAACCTCCATTACCGAAGTGAATTCGGTACAAAATAGTGAATTGACTTCTCGACTAAAGTCATCAATTCACTACCTTCAATTCGGACTCGAGCAGCAGGTGGTCGAGTTAGTGCTGACATTGAAGCAGCCCAACAGTCTTATTCCGGGCAGAGGTCTGAGCGGACCTCCAGCAGCTCAATGTCAGTGGTGTGAGAGCTTGAATCATCTGATGGAAGACTGTCAGGCTATGCGGGAGTCATCTACACCACAAGAGCATATGGACTTCATCGCGAATGCTTGGAGCCTCGATCCATACAGTAACACATACAATGAGGGGTGGCGCCAGCATTCCAACTTCTCTTGGAATGGCAACACCACAAACCACCTGGTTTCCCAGCACCAGCAGGTGGTTTTCAGTAGAGGCAGCATTTCTAGGCTAGACAGGGGCCAGTCCCTCAGCAGCAGCCTTACCAGCCGAGGGAGGGGCAACCATTTCAGCAGCCCCAGCGTCAGTATGCCGAGCTAGCAGCAGATCCATCTCCCTATAATCAGATGACCGAGCTGAAGAATATTTTGGCAAGGGTGCATCATGGACACAATCAAAGCAAGTAAAAAGGTTGTTTTCAAGTCGAGAGAGGTCACCCGGAATATGGTTCCCCCTAGACTGCAGTTAAGCCGGATTGTAATTTACCAAGCTCCAGCGGGCAACTAACCTCCACCAGAGTAAACACATTGAGGCCCTAACGAACCAAACCTCCATTACCGAAGTGAATTCGGTACAAAATAGTGAATTGACTTCTCGACTAAAGTCATCAATTCACTACCTTCAATCAAGGGTGCTCTATCAACGTAGGCAGATATTCTCTTTCTATGTTAAAGCAGAAACAACAGGAATTTGATCAGGATTCATGCCATTCAACAAATCAAACCTCAATTGAACATAATCATATCAATGAATCTGTACTTGGGTTCATACAATCAGACCTAACATACAAATCTAGGTTTCTTCATACCCAGATGAATAAGAAAATTACTCCATAGAGAGAGATGGAAAATCTAGCTCAGATGCGGAAACCATACTGTGAAAGATGGGAATATGCTTCTGGCACTTAATTAGATCTTCTCCAAGCTCAAGCCACACTCCAATGGTGATGGAGATCGATCAAGGACACTTGCAGAGTCAGGTTCGTCACTTTCTCTCTCTAGGTATTGCTTTTTCTCTCCAAAACTCGGAACCCTTGTCTTTTGCCCTTCTTTTCCCTTAAAAAGCTGTGTGTCGCGATCCCCGGTCTGAATACCCGGTCGGGTATTTTGGGTGGCGACCGGGTATATTCAAAACGCAGCGTCGGAAGACAGGGGAAAATCCCCGGTCAATGCCAAGAATCCTCGATCGGGGATTTCCGCTATGTGCTCGGGCCCCCTTCTGCTTCTCAGAGACGCCCGAAGCAACAAATCCCCGGTCTGCTCCAAATAATACCCGGCCGGGTATTTCTGCTCTTGGTCGGGCATTTTGCTCCTCCAGCACACTTCACCCCAAACGTGCTCCTTTCAACCCGAAATTCGTTTCTTCGCCTCGATGCCAACGCTAAGCCCTGAAATATGACATAAACGCACAACCTAGCGTGAAATTGGCTTAAAACACGAGAATCTACATCTCAAACGGCTCAAGAATAGGGGTAAAAACATATCAATGGTCTATCAAACTCCCCGACACTTAACCGTTTGCTTGTCCCCAAGCAAACCTAAATCAAACCAATGCAACTCTCCTGACCTCTATAGCAACAAACAACCCCGATCGTCGGTAGAGGATTTCCTAGATCATATAGCAACTTACGAGGTCAACTGGACTTCTAAGTCGTTCCCTATCTCTCTCAATGCGAGTACTAGACTCAAGCCAGGATCATGAGAAGAAGTAGACGTAAGACAATCAGTTCATGGATAAAGGGAGTCATACCATTCATAACCAAGGACTTGTTGTACCGGGGTGCGCTTTCACTTTATTTCACCGTTGGAACCCCTTTTTCACTTTCATTTTATTTTTCGTTTTTCATTCACTTGGCGGGGGTTCCAACTGCAGTCTTTTGCACGGTCGACCCTTATTAGTCGAGCAAGAGCAATTTCTGTACATCTGGCGCTCGCCAGAGTACTTCTTTTAACTCCTTTTCCTCAACTCGTGTGGAGGGTCAATGAAATTAAGGGGGGTCGGAAGCTCTATCCGTGCCCTTAAAAACACATCCTCAAGTAGGCAAACCGTTCAACGGGTGGAAGTTTTACTTGTACTAGAGACAACTTAGCTTCACCTTGTAGGAGTACCCCCCACTAAGGATCACTAAAATCTCTTCCAAAACCCGATTTTGTGCAATGAACGGTGCCGCACACGTTGGGCTTACCCCATGTTTAAGATTTAATGATTTCGACATGGAGGACCAACTGCTTTTCATTTTTCACATGAGCACCTTATTCGATACACGAGTCCATAACACAATCCAAATAGAGTCACCATTACCACATGAATTCAACGGTCTTAGCTCCACTAATTCACAAAATCAACTGGCACAGCAGAGAGCTAGATAAGAAAAATCTTATACTTCAACATCCTCCATAGTGCTACACTACCTCCCTAGGTTTCACATTACTATAGAGACTGTCAATTCAAAGCATACTGAGCAGGCAATTTGCAAGGAAACACGTACTTGGAGCCCTCAAATCGAAATTTGGACAGTGGACTAGGCTCCAAGCACACAAACAGATCTAATGCAGTCAAAAGAGAAACATCCCCCCCCCCCACACACTTAAGTTCGACAATGCCCTCAATGGAGAAGAGGGAAGGATAAGGGGAACGATGTTACCGGTGTGCACGGACTACATGAGACTGGAAGCGGACCAGTTTAAGTGAAGCGGACTGGAAGCGGACCAGTTAGGGACAAAGCACAGCTAAAGGGAACAGAAGAACTCAAACATAATACGTTAGGTCCAATCGTCAGCCCAATAGTACATCATGCAAAACAAAATAAAACAAACCAAAACCAAACCATTTTGCAATCCGACCCAAAGCAAAAGAAATAAATGCAAACCATGGTGGGGTTGCCTCCCCACAAGCGATTCTTTACCGTCTTTTAGCTGGATGCCCATGGTGGATACTCAGCGGGGTGCAGGGACAGGTGCCTCCAAGAGCGGATCCACATCGCTCCTGAGGTACAGCTTCAAATGGTGGCCATGCACCCGACGGGTGCAACCACCAACATTGGTCAGCTCGACCTGGCCATCCGGCAAGATGCAGGCGAGTGAGTACTCGGATGGCCAGGGTGGTCGTGGTGCAGGAGGTGGGACCAGCTCATAGTGGTCGCCGCCTTTCTTCCGAGCAGGCTTAGCCACCTGCGGCTTCGGCCGCCACTCCTCCTTGAGCTTTTTATTTGGAGGTGAGGTTGAAGGGAGTGGCGGCGAAGGCGTGAGAGGGGAGTCCTGCAAAACGAGAGGCACAGAGGGGTACACGACAGGCTCGTGTACCTAGTGAGAAATAGCATGCATAGGTGTGACAGCAGGCATACCACAATGATCTAATTCAGCCACATAAAAAATAGCCTGTTCATTCCCAGCAAGCAAGGTCAGTTTACCACTATGCACATCAATGAGTGCCTTGGCGGTGGCAAGAAATGGTCTATCTAGAAACAAAGGCACATCCACATCCTCATTTATATCCAGAATAACAAAATCAACAAGATATGTGAATGTGCCTACTTTAACAAGCAGATCTTTTATGATACCCCTAGGATGCACAATAGAGCGATCACCTAACTGAATGCTCATCCTAGTAGGGCTTAGTTCACCTAGGTCTAGCTTTATAAACAAGTTGTATGGCATGACATTTATGCTAGCGCCTAGGTCCGACAAGGACTTCCCTACATGAATGCTGCCAATAGTAAGAGGGATAGTAAAACTCCCTGGGTCCTTGCGCTTTTCAGGAAGCTTGTTCTGCAAGATGGCAGAACACTCCTCGCTCAGCATCACTGTCGAAAGATCCCCAATTTTCTTCTTGTTGCTGAGGAGATCCTTCATGAACTTGGCGTACTTGGGCATCTTCGACAATGCCTCCATGAAAGGTATGCTGACGTTGAGCTGCTTCAACATTGCCATGAACTTGGCAAACTCAGTCTCCAGCTTATCTTTGTGTAGTCGAGTGGGGAAGGGATGCTGGGTACATGCTCTTTAACCACTGGCTGTGGCTTGGGAGCAGGGGCTTCCTTCTCCACTCTTCCTTCTACATCGTCGGCTGGAAGTGCTGAAGCAGGCAGTGGCTCTTCCTCCCCAGCCTGGGCATGTACCGCCGAAGTGGTCTTGCCACTCCTGGTGGTGATAGCATTCAGCTGCCTGTGTGGCTCCCGTGCATTGGGGATGGTAGTTGCAGGTAGAGTTCCCAGTGCCCGGGTATTGTTCTGACGAGCTATTCCTCCAAGATGATTCTGGAGGTCCTGCAGTATGGCACCTTGATGCCTCTTATCCGCCTCCAGCGAGGCGATGCTTTGGTCAATCCTGGTAAAATTCGCCTTGCTGATAGTCATGAATGCTGCCAAAATATTCTTCAGCTCGGTCATCTGATTATAGGGAGATGGATCTGCTGCTAGCTCGGCATACTGACGCTGGGGCTGCTGAAATGGTTGCCCCTCCCTTGGCTGGTAAGGCTGCTGCTGAGGGACTGGCCCCTGTCTAGCCTAGAAATGCTGCCTCTACTGAAAACCACCTGCTGGTGCTGGGAAACCAGGTGGTTTGTGGTGTTGCCATTCCAAGAGAAGTTGGAATGCTGGCGCCACCCCTCATTGTATGTGTTACTGTATGGATCGAGGCTCCAAGCATTGGCGATGAAGTCCATATGCTCTTGTGGTGTAGATGACTCCCGCATAGCCTGACAGTCTTCCATCAGATGATTCAAGCTCTCACACCACTGACATTGAGCTGCTGGAGGTCCGCTCAGACCTCTGCCCGGAATAAGACTGTTGGGCTGCTTCAATGTCAGCACTAACTCGACCACCTGCTGCTCGAGTCCGGACCTAGCCTCCATGGCGTGTACACCACGATCCCGGGAATTCTTGCCTTTGGTGCTCTACCCCCAGGAATGATCTCTGGCAGCCAAGGTACTGATCATCTGGTTCAATTCGAGTGGAGTCTTAGTAAGAATATCCCCTCCTGGGCATAGAGACTCAATCACCCTCTGGCTTTCCGGAGAGAGAGCACTGTAGAAGTTCCCCACGGTGAATGCATCACTGAAGCCATGATGAGGACATTTCTAGAAAAATCCCATATACCGCTCCCATGCATCACGAAGTGACTCGTCTGGCTCCTGGCGAAAGTGAGTGATCTCTCGCTGAATCTTTGTAGTCTTCGATGCCGGATAGTACCTGTGCACGAACTTGTTGGCCAGATCGTCCCAAGAAGTGATGGATAATGGGGGCTGGATCTCCAACCACCTCTTAACATGCCCCGCCAGAGAATGGGGGAAGACGTGAAGGCGGATCACATCATCAGGGACAACGTTCATCTTGAACCCGTTTGTCAGCTGCAGGAAACGGGAAAGATGCACCCTTGCCTCCTCATCCTTCAAGCCATGAAACTGGATAGAGGATGTAATTAGTTGAATCCAGCATGGCTTGATCTCGAAGTTGTTCGCTGGGATGGGTGGATAGAGGATGACAGGGCGGACATCAGCAACCCGTGGAGTGTAGTAGTACTCCAAGGTGGGACCCGACG